GTTGTAGGGTTTGGGTCAGGGGGTCGTGTGCGGCGGGTTCTGGAGTCCTTCATTGTCTTCTGTTTGGTACCATGCTGTCGTCTTTCTGGGTCAGCGTTTGTAAGAACGTTAAGTTAGAGTTCGGTGCTCTTCTTTTGCTGTGATAAGCGAGGGAAAGTTTTCTTTAGATAAGGGAGAGATAAAGTGTGGGGAGGTTATGTGTAGGTTTCACAGTCTCACCGCGCGTCCTAAGATTCCTGAGTCCTATGTCCCTAAGTACCTAGAGTTCAAGTCTTCGTCCTAAGGCTTGTTTTAATAGTCTTATCCTAGGGTCAAACATAGGCTCTGATACCAACTGTAACAACCCGAAATTTTTAAACTTTTGGAGCTCATATAATAAAGGTGAAATCTCATTAATTCTCAAAACATAATATAAAGAGTACGGGGTGCTATGCCACACCTGAGTTCTCTACAAAATATAAAGAGTACGGGGTGCTATGCCACACCTGAGCTAGAGAACTCAGGTGCACAGGCTAGATTCTAACAATCTCAATTAGTATCACTAAAATTCATGGCACGCAGGCCGAAAGGAAAAACTATCTAATCTACGCCCCAAACCTCTAGCGCGCTCCAGTGATCTACTCGTCTGTGCCTGAAAGCCAAATATATCTGTTCAGCGAGAGATACTGGTAACCCACTCCAACGAGTTGGAATACAATACATATAGATATATACATAGATATACGAAAAACCATTTCGAAGCATGAAGATATATCCTAAGAGACTCTAGCTTTCAAACGGGGATTAGACTCGACAGATTGTGATAAGCACAACCAACAGTCATAATCAAGCATGCACAATTCACAGGCAGATAGAGATAAGCACAGCCATTAGTCATAAACAAGCATATACAGTTACTAGCATGTATCCTAGGGTCACGCTTCCATAACAATCCAATCATCCATATCTCATCACATAGCACACTTTGTTGGCACCACAGGACCAATCGCATGCCCATACATGAGGGTCAGCGCATATAGCTCTGACACGGCCCCGCAGCACCCTACCCCGTATCGCAACACGGAGGGGTCGATCGCAACCGACCGATGAACCGCAGCTCATCATAGTTTGATCGCAACCAAACAGTGGACCGCAACCCAAGAGTATGTCATCTGACCGCAGCCAGGAAATATGAACCGCAGCTCATGTAGAAACGTTTGATCGCAACCAAACGGTTGACTACAGCCCTAGATTGTAAATCTGACTACAGCCAGCTTCTGAACCGCAGCTCAGGAATAACCAATCTGATCGCAACCGGATTGGGGTATCATGCATACATAACACATAGCAAGCACATGCAACCCACATTAACACATTGGGAAGGGGGAGAAAACGTATAACAAAACCTATGTGTGATCCTTCACATACTAAGAATATTCCTAAGGGGTACATACTTCTTTTACCTAGGTCAACGGGATACCAATTCAACTAGCATGCAATATATAAGAATCATACAACCTGCGAACGGTACCCGAAATATCAAACTAGACATAGGCACGATGGACGGAGTCCGTTGGGACGCCACGGGGGTCGGGGGAACATCAAACGGGGAAGCCAAAATCCCGAGGTGGGGTAAAATCCAGCGGGTAGCCAGTGGGTGAGGGGTCACCCGCCGGCGGCAGCGTTCCGGGCAGCGGGTGCCCGGCGGGCAGCTGCCGGCGTTACCATCATAGTTCGCGGGTAGGTGGCGGGTCCCCTACCCCCACCTACCCCCCACTGACTCTTTTATCACAGAAAAACGCCCCGGGAACCATTGTGGAACCCGAGACCATGCTTAGACACTTTCAAACGCAATTGACAACAACACGTAGACAGTTAACAGATTCAAAAACAAGAACATACGGCACATAACCTATCATGCTTTTCTAAACATAATCAACACCCAAACATGCGAATTCCCACCCCATGTACCAAGAATAATACCATACGAATTCCACGATATAACCTAGGGTTTTAATTATTTTTAAATCAACAAGAACACAATTCATCTTCTAATATCAAGATTCGGTAGGAATATCATATAAACATCAAGAACATCATATAATCATCAAGAAATCAAGAACACCATATAATCATCAAGAACCTCTTATCATCAAGGTCACCCATGGAATCATAACACCAATTATCAAGATCATTAAAATGAATCATCAACACACAAGAATATGGGGGAAATCCTAAGAGGGGAATCATAGCTATGAAAATAGGCAACAGAGTCAATGCGGCGTCCATTATCAAATCAGCATGCAACATGGCAATGGAGGCGCGGTGTTATATAGCCAAACACAAAAACACGTTGCATGGTCATCAGAAATGGGTTTCTTGGGAGAAACCTCAACAAGGGTGGATGAAACTGAACACGGACGGAGCTATGAAAGCTAACACAGGTATGGCTAGCGCCGAGGGTCTCATTCGTGACTTTCAGGGGAATTGGGTTAAGGGTTTTGTGACAAAAATCGGGCTTACAGATAGCTTCTCGGCGGAGCTGTGGGGCCTGAGGGAGGGTCTACGGCTCTGTCTGGAAGAAGGCCTGGCTAGGGTGTGGGTGGAAATGGACTCAGCGGCGGTGGTGGCCATTCTGACCAGCGAAGCTACTCGTAAGGACACGTTAGATACCCTCGTTAAAGATTGCTTGGATCTAATGGAAAGGATCACGGTTACTCGGAATTCTCATATTGACAGAGAAGGGAACAAATGTGCGGGCTGGCTAGCCAATCGGGGTCAGGAGGCGGATTGGGGGACAAGCTTCCTCGAAGACCCTCCGGTTGATCTGCACAACCTGCTTCTTGCTGATGCCTGCAACACTCCTTTTCTAAGGGTTAGATAATGCTCTCTTGGGAGGGCTTCAATTTCACCAAAAAAAAAATAGCTATGAAAATAGGTTTTGTTGAGACATGGGTTACCTTTTAGCCTTAATTAATTCCTTGGCTATGAAGGGTCTTTCTTGAAGCTTTCTTCTTTCTTGATTTCTCCTAAGGGAATTCTTGGAACTTCTTGTGTGGTGAGGGATTATTGTGGTGGGGGTTCTAGGTGCCTCTTAAGTCCCCTATTTATATACCTAGGAGTCCTAATTAGGAACTAATATTATAGGCTTGCTAATTCTATTCCTTTTAGGGCTAGGGGTTGGGTTTTAGGGGTGAGGGCCCACGGACTATGGTGGGCCTTTCCTAAATTAATTATTGTAATTTAGTTCTTTCTTCGGATATTTGATTAAATGATTAATTGGTTTTAGGGGTCGTAACACGGGGTGTTACAAAAGTCAACTTCAAGGACTCATTCACACTCTCAAAAGGAAAGGAAATCAAAATCCTTACGACAGCAACAAGACAAGAAACGTGTAAGACAATACAACTCGAGATGCATTCTACTGATCACAAAGTAGAATACATCAAGACATGCTCAATAGCAAAGAATACACATTCACACATTTGGCAACTAAATGCCACAGTGAAAACTACATGTCACAAGCATCACAGTTCCGAGTTCCAACCTTATGCCCTGTTCCAACCTTATGGCTACCTCCGGCCTTATTTCAGTTCCAACCATTACCCCCGAGTGCCACCCTGTACTTCTGAGTCCAACCTTGTACCGCCAGGGACCGTCGTCCCCCCTCCAACATAGCCTCTAACATACCGCCGAACTCTCAGTACACGACAGTACCATTAATTTCAATCACATAGCCTCCAACATATTAGCCTTTACTCAGGTAACACACAACCAATTTCAATCATGGTCACACAAGTCATCATCATTACCAAGAAGACTAAGGTTCAACAATAACCTTAATCAAGCATCAATTAAAGGGTACAACGATTACATACGTTCACATCATAGGAATCAATCAATGGATCAAAACAAAGATATGAAACCGTACTCAACAACGAAGGATCAGAATTCGACACCAAATGATGGTCAACACAAGTTGCCAATCTCAATAGGAAAGAACAAACCGCACTCACTAGCATTTCAACATCAAACTAGCATGCTCATCAAACGGGTAAACCAAAAGTAGTTCCATAGAACATTAAAGACTCACAATAGTCCAACGAATACAAAGGTTGGACCCTTAGCACGATTTAAGACACCAAATCCTACATGGATTCCTAACATACCGTTCTATACATACGAAACATCAAGAAGACTCACAAATAGCCCAATAAAACAACATCGGGAGGTCAAAACATCAATACCGAGTCAAAAGAATCACAGGGAACAAATCCCCGCCCATCATCATACATCTTCCCCGCGGGTGGGGCCACGGGTGGACAACCACCCGCGGGTGGGGCCACGGGTGGACAACCACCCGCGGTTCCGCCCGAGGGTACACAACCCTAGCGGCCACGTTTCCCACGGGTGGCGCGGCGGTTAGGGCCCTGCCCGCAGGTACACCCTGTACTCCAAAATAATCCCTTCGGGGATTTTCAACAACAAGTCCAAATTCAAGTCCAAAACACCCAAAATCTCACACAAAACAACAATATGACTTGGACCCTAGAAATAACCAAGCAATGGCATTCAAGAACCCTAAGAACAAGCTCTAAACATGCATTACCACAAGACAATGAATCAAATCTCACATTTCAACACAAGAATCACAAGTAGAAGCCAAGAAATCATCATATAAATAAGAAAATAGGTTTTGTAAAGCATGGGTTACCTTTGTAGCCTAAAACTTCTCTTTCTCACCCTTAGAAAGCCCATCCTAAAGCTCTTCTTCCACACCAACTTCATAAACAAACCAAAAGACAACAAAGATTCTATTTTTAGAAAAAGACATCTAAAAGGAGGTTAAAAACACCAAAAGATCAAGGATCTTACCCTCCCCTATGCTCAAGATAAGGAAAGTAGGAATCTTGGAAAACAACTTGCAAGATCTAGGATGCCCAAATTCTAGCTTGGAGAAGAAGCTACCACTTCTTAGAGAGAAGATAGAGATTTTGTGTTTAGACAGTTGGTGAATGAAATGAAGAGATTGTTGGTCCCAAAAGAGGTAAGGTGAAAGTCTAGAGGGGGGGGGGGTGAATAGACTTTCAAACTTTTTCGCACAGCACAACAATTGCTAAGCCAGAGATAAACCAAAACTCTTAACTAGCTTGTTAGAGTATGGTGCACAGCGGAAATAAATAAACATAAAGTGTGTGTGAGATTTTGTGAGCAGTATATCTCGTGTAGAGCGAATATGTAAAGAGCGGTAAGTAAAGAAAGCAGTAAAGAACACAAGACAATTATAGTGGTTCGCGAGGTGTTGTAATCCTCCTACTCCACTTGCTCTTATCTCCAAGAGCAATTCACTATATCTACCAATTCTTGGTTTCAAGGTACAATGAATTTCCGTGATCTAGTGCTTTGATCACAAAGCCTGCACTAATCATGCCCAGTGACACCACACTGCTGCTTCGGGTTTCACGTCGCCGCGCTACTATCCCAGGATTTCACGACTCCGCGTTACTTTCCCCCCGTCTTCCACACTCCGGTAGAAACGTATCCCGTGATCTGGTGCTTTGATCACCAAGCCCACACCAATCACGCCCAGTGCCTCCGACACTGCTGCTTCGGATCTCACAGCTCCGTGTGACAATCCAAGATTTCACAGCTTCGTGCTACTTTCCTCCCTTCTCTTGTTTTGCTCCAAAACAAGTGTTGTCTTGCTTCCAACTTCTGAGACTCTGTAGATGATCTTCAATGATGCGCAGGTCTCTTTGATGAAGATAAACACTCTGGAATGATTTCTCTTGATAGCTCTGAGTGTTTTCTCTCTTTGAATATATCAAGTAAAGCACTTGATATTTTTGCTCTGCTTTGCTCTGTTTAAGAACTCTCTGAATATTTTCTTTGAAGCTCTCTGAGTTCTTTTTCTTTTCTCACTTCGCACTTGAAGATTTTTGGTATGCTCTGTACCAAATGAGATTTTTGCTCTATGCTCTTTCAAGCTTAATTGCTCTATTCGATCTCCTTGAAGAGTTTCGAATTTTCTGCTCTCTTGTTCGTGAGTTCCCCATCTTCAAGTCTTCATATCTTCATCATTTTATAGCTGGTAATGAGAATCTGTCTGTTGGAAAGAGACGCTCCCATTTTTGAAATATTGTATCTTTTTGTCAGAGATCTTATCTTATCTTCTGCAAAGATGTCAGAAAGGATAAGCTAGCCGTTGTTAGAGCTTCATCTCCATGTAAATGGGTTCCCAAACTTCATCTGATATTTCCTCTGGTTTTACGTTGAGTGGGAGTATCTGGGTGTAGAACGGCTTCTCTGATTAGCTCTGAAGTGGTTCTTGTATCTTTGGGATTTAAAAATATTCATCAATTTAATCCCATACTAGTTAAAACTAGTATTTTTCCTTGTGAGAATATTTTCACTGTAAGTTCATCTTCATCTTCTTCATTCTCACGTCTGGGTGTTTTCAGACTTCAAATTGGTTGTGAACTTCCACCCAATTTGAATTTCTCCTTTGTAATTAAGACCCAATTTCAATTGGCTTGTAATTGGCACCACCCAATTTGAATTTCTCCATTGTAATTGGCTCCCAATTGACTTTGACTTGCAATTGGCTCCCAAACTGCTCCTGGTGCGACTTCTCCTATCTCCTATGTCTTCTTCGAATCCTTCTCCTGGTATTGAATTTCTACATTGGCTCCAAACTTGCTCCGAATTTCAATTGATTTCAATTGCTATGAAATCGGCTCCCAAGTGGAATTGCATCTCAATTGCCACCCCAGTGAAATTGCTTCCCAATTTCCACTTGTAATCGGCGCCCAACTCTATCAGATTAATTTAATTATTGAGACCCAATTTCAATTGGCTTGTAATTGGCACCACCCAATTTGAATTTCTCCATTGTAATTGGCTCCCAATTGACTTTGACTTGCAATTGGCTCCCAAACTGCTCCTGGTGCGACTTCTCCTATCTCCTATGTCTTCTTCGAATCCTTCTCCTGGTATTGAATTTCTACATTGGCTCCAAACTTGCTCCGAATTTCAATTGATTTCAATTGCTATGAAATCGGCTCCCAAGTGGAATTGCATCTCAATTGCCACCCCAGTGAAATTGCTTCCCAATTTCCACTTGTAATCGGCGCCCAACTCCATCAGATTAATTTAATTATTGAGACCCAATTTCAATTGGCTTGTAATTGGCACCACCCGATTTGAATTTCTCCATTGTAATTGGCTCCCAATTGACTTTGACTTGCAATTGGCTAATTGGCACCACCCAATTTGAATTTCTCCATTGTAATTGGCTCCCAATTGACTTTGACTTGCAATTGGCTCCCAAACTGCTCCTGGTGCGACTTCTCCTATCTCCTATGTCTTCTTCGAATCCTTCTCCTGGTATTGAATACATTGGCTCCAAACTTGCTTCGAATTTCAATTGCTATGAAATCGGCTCCCAAGTGGAATTGCATCTCAATTGCCACCCCAGTGAAATTGCTTCCCAATTTCCACTTGTAATCGGCGCCCAACTCCATCAGATTAATTTAATTTGGCTTCTCAAATTTTACCTTGTAAAATTGTTGATAATGAGTTTCGAACTTGAGCCATTTCGCATAATATATCAAGCATCATCCATTTCGTCCGTACAACTTTTGATAAAATCTCCAATCACATTTGATGTACTCCTTTCTTTCCATAGATGCTTGATCTCCAAGTCAATTTCATGCATTCTTCCAATACTAATTTTCTTCACGAAAATTCTTCTGGGATATCTTCTTTGAGTAGCATTGACGTGATTTCATATCATTCATCTTCTTCTTCAATTTGTCATTTTCTCCAGACAAATTCTTGATTTTAGGCTTTATATCTTCTTCTTCTATTTTCATGCATCTTCCTCTGTTTCTCTTTTCCAATTTAAATAATTTCCCGATCATGGTCTAAGACTCTACTAGACCTATGAAATAAAATTGGGGGATCTACAAATACAAATTTGGCATATCAAAACCATTACACTTTATTCCTAACAATTTCCCCCCTTTTGATAATGCCAAAACCTACACTCAGTCATTGGCTTTAAGTCTTTGAAAAATAATCTTTTTGCTCAATTTTATTTGACAAAGCCAAGATGAGTTTAACAAATGGTATTCTAGATACAATCAAAAGAAACTTGTGAATTAAATTTTTAGACAAGCTCCTAAACGCATCTTGAATTATTTTTATTTTGATCATCATCAATTTTTAATTTTGTCGTGCGTTTGACATGTTTCTTGTCTTTTAATTCACGAAAGTCTAATTACATTAAACAAATAGAATTAAAGACTCAAAATAGACCATGGGAAATTATTATTGATATATTTCGAATTTATAGAGAAAAACGCAATAGAGGTTCGAAGATTGAAAATATCAGCTTAAGATAATTTTCAGATTACCTTCTGGGTTTCTTCACACCAGAGTCTTTCTTCAAAATTTCCTTGACATGTCCTCTGGGCTTGAAGAAATCATCTTTGAACTTTGCATTCTGAAATTTCTTTGTAAGCTGTCCGGCCATATAGTGTCCAAAAGCTTCTTTGATATTGTTGCCCGGAAGAACTCCGTTTTCCCACCATAAGACACATTCTTCGAAGCTTCTTTCTTCTCCAAGATTCATGCCCATATTTTCGGTGAAATCTCTTAGTTCATACCACATCTCGGTTCTTTTCCTTTTGCCTTCTTCTTCTTTATTCTTCTCCGAGATCCATTGGGCTTGATCGGCTGCAGGCCATTTCTTGATCATGCTTGGTAGATTTTCCTTAGTCCATATTGTTGTCTGAGTGGCGGTACCCTTAGAGCATTCAAACCAGCCAATCTGTTCAGCAACCTTCGATGTACTCGTACCAAGACTAGGATTCGCGAACTGAGCAAAACCAATCTGAGATGGTCCTTGTGAGGATTGTCCGCGGCTTCGGCCTTTACCTTGAGTAGACATTACTGGCTTTTGTTGGCTTCCAAGAATAAATTCTTGTTGTTGCAAAGCCAAGTGACTGAGAATTTCTTCCCCCCTTTTGGCGTTATCAACAAAAAATGCAAGGGTCTTAAAGTCTCGGTCTTGGTTTGCCTTCACAGTTTCAACACTGTTGTGTGTTTCAATGGAAACGGTTTGCACGTTGTCAAGCTTGTTTGTTGTAACTGCGAGTTCAGCTTCAAGTTTGTTGATTCGGCTTTCTTGGTCTTGAATTGCTTTGATCTGTCTCAAGTGACGTTCGTTGTTAATCTTTTCAGCTGCTTCACGTTCCTTCTTCATGAGCTGAATCACTTCAAGTAAGCCTTTTGTTAATTCTCCTTTCAAAATTCTTTCTGCTTTGTCAATCTGAGTCTTCATGATATTTTGATGCTCCATTAATTCCTTCAGATTGACTCGTGTATCCGTGTGTTGTTGATCCATCTTTTGATTTTGTTCAACCAACTTTTCTCCAATTGTTTGACAAACAACATCACTGGATTCGGCCACTTTGGCAAATAAGGATGAAAATATGCCATTATCTTGATCATTCATCTGCACAAAGTTTTGAGGAGATCCGAATGGACTTCTATTCGAATCTGTGAGAACAACTGTATCAATAAGTTGCATCCCTTCTTCTTCAGGTGATTCGGCTTCTTGATTGAGATCACCAACTTGTTCTTCTAGGACTTCTGTTCTCGTGTAATTGTCTGCAAATAATTCTTCATTTTCTAGAACAGGGTCCATGGTAGGCATGGTAGACTCGGTATGGTGTACCGGCAATACACTGGATAAATCCTCTGTGATTTGCAGTCTACTCTCAGTAGCAACTTCTACTGCAACTTCAACTGGTATATCTCTTCTTCTTTCTTCTGACACTTGTTCTCTTATTTCTTCTTGCACTGACACTTCTGCTTCATTGGATCCCACAAGTTGTTCATTGCACTCCAGATTCACATTAGTTGTTGTGGGGGTCAGATCAGATATTAATAAAGAAGCATCATGGACTTTCACAGGTATGTCCATATGATTTTTAGTGCTTATGATTGGTACATCGATGAGTGCCGTCCCTTCAGTTCTTTCATCAAAAATTTCATTATCCACAAGAGATGTGTTACCTGGATAATGATGTGTGTCATAAACTGACCTTTGCAGAGCTAACTGAAGTGAAATTTCATTCTGTCGTTCTTGTTCGGCTAAACGGTCTTGAGCCGTACTGCCTCCCTTTATTGGTGCTTTTCCTTTTTGTCTGGCTGCCTTCTCGTGTAGCTTCATGTGATAAACTTGATTTAAATCCATGTTGAGTGCATCTAGCATCACGTTTGTTCCGCACCATTCCAAGGAAAAATCTTCACTCCGTATCAAATCTGGGGTGATTTTTGACATGAAAGAATGATATCTTTCAAGTTTCCATTCTCTCCAAGTTTGCACCATTATCAATTCTTTCAACAGCTCCGGATCATCTTGAATGAGAGCTGAGTCAAAAACTATAGGTCCTGCACTTCCTTCGGCTGCAGATTGACTCGAGAGCCTTCTTTGTAGATCATTCGAAATTTGCACATCAACTCCTGCAAATTCCATTCTTGTAGTATCGTTAACTTCTTCGGCCAACAAATTTTGTTCCGCATATTTGATTGGAACAACTGCCATAGCCGTACTGATGGCTTCGATCTCTTCCTGATCGATTGCTTGATCCCATTTGATTACTTGAGGTTGAGATTGCTTTGCTGTTTCTCGGTCTGGAACTCTGAGGTGTTTTTGAACTTGTAGAACTCCCACCTTCTTGTCCTCTTCTCTGGCTTGACCTTTTTCCAAAATTAAGACTGAATTTTCTGAAGAGAGCTCTGTAAATTCCAATATTTTTGTGTTTTCTCATTGGAATTGTCTTCTTCCTTAGCAGTTCTCCAATGATGAGACCATATCCAACATTTTGATAGAATCGATCCACTACAGCGGGTTTCTTCATTGGTTTGGCAGCATGAACAAAAATAACCATCTTCCTATAGATAAATTTTGCCCATTTGAATTTTATTCATTTCATGATTCCGTCCATCAAGCACACTGTCCATGCAGTCAAATCTTCAGTACTTCCCAGTTTGTGTTCAAGAATCTTGTAAACCATGTCCACCAACATCTCATATTCAAACTTCAATACATTCTTATGAGCGGATACATCAGAGAAAATTGGAGCCGTAGGACCACGAATCTCGTTCCCTAAAATTTTGAACAACATAGCTGTGAGATTCTGGCATTATCTGAGATTCAGGAAAGTTGAAGCACTTGTGTATGTCATCTTCTGTGATCGAAACTTCTGATCCTCCAACTTTAGATTTAATCGAGTCCTTTTCAACGACTGCATGTAGATAAAATTCGGCTACATCTTCTTCAAAGGTTCCAAAGTAGTTGTAGGTGAAGAAATCAAACAGTCCACAATCTTTTAAAGCTTGAAGAATTTTCTCGGTCGTGTCCTTGTTGGTAGAACCTAGTTTGAAAAATTCAGGATTGAGTACCATCCCATTCGTCACTTGTTGCGAGAGGGCAAAAATAGGATCAATTTGCTTTCTTCTAGATTGAGCCATGATGATCAAATCGATTGATCGAGGAGAGATAATTTGAGAGAGAGTTTTCTGATATTCTGAAGGTCTTGAAAGAGTTTTTGAGATATGAGTGAGGGGTTTATATGAGGAGGACGACTCGAAGGGGTTTTTCGAATTTAAGTGAGAGATATGAGACTTCTCAATTGTACCCTTTGGTTGATGTGTGTCGATTGGGTGAGTTTAGGGTAGATGAGTCATCTGATAGATAGTGTTACGAGGAAAGAGAAAATGTCATCATGAGCAGACAATAGCATTTAATGCTCACACCTCTTTAGAAATACCCAATGCATGTAAGGTGTAGAGGGTGGAGATTTGAAGAGACACTTAGGAAGGATTTGGGTTCTGATCTCCTTGAGATTTGTTTGTGGGGATCGATTAAGAGAGTAGATTTCTGACAGGCGAGATGGGGGTGTCGATTGAGAGGGGGTAAATCTTGTTTGGAAAGATTTGATTTAGGAGAGGATTATGGGGGGAGGTTTAGGTTGGGTGGAGGTTTAGAAAGGGTAAGAGTTTATGGGTGGAAGTTTGATGCCCAATTAAACTCTGATTATCCTCCTTTATCTCCTGATTTCCTTCTCAAATTCGTGTACCACAAACATAATAACACTCAAACATCTCGTTAGTAGCAAAAATTACTCCACAAATAATTAATCACACATACCAATTATATTAAACTCATACACCGTAATTTCCAATCAAAAATTAAACACATTTTGGAAACTAACAAAATTAACACACATATTCCTAAATTATAATTAGAAACAACTTTATATAAAAAGCACACAAATCAGATTCCAAAATATTTTAGAAACTAACAAAAATATTAACTTCTAGATTTCTAAAACATTTTATTGCAAATTATATCACATATACTGCATATATACGAAACACATATACAATTAACACTTTAAATCACATTTTGCACATAACACATATATTTTTAAACAAACACGGTAAATCATTTTTAGAGCAAATTGTTCATGCAAACAAGTTAGTTAATTTACAGAAACATGAACACATACTCAAAAACTGATTAACACATTAAAACATGAAATTTTAAACAAAACATCAAATAAATCATGAATTGCACATTTCATCAAATTAATTTGCATGGCATATGATCTCACGTTAAATAACACCTGCAAATGCACAAATAAGATCCTAACACATATTGCAATTTTATCATATAAAAATTTCGAATAAAAACATACATGCAAATACGTAAAACAATTTATTCACATAAAACAATTTAGTTTGAGCACAAGTATCAATTTAAATAGAGAGATTATGTCCAGTGATACTTAGCTCATTTCGATCATTCCCAACTCGTGCCTTAAGGTAGAAAATCTCGTTTCGCATAAAGGCTTTGTGAGAATATCAGCAACTTGGTTTTCCGTAAGGGATATATTCGATCTTCAGATTTTTCTTTTCAACGTGATCCCTTATGAAATGATGTCGAATGTCGATATTTTTGGTTCTTGAATGAAGCACCGGATTGTGAGTGATAGCGATTGCACTAGTATTATCACAATAAATACTAACGTCATCACAATTAACTCCGTAATCCTTCAATTGTTGCTTCATCCACAAAATTTGCGCACAACAACTTCCTGCAGCAATATATTCGGCCTCGGCGGTACTAGTTGCGATGGAATTTTGCTTTTTGCTGAACCAAGAAACAAGCCTTCCCCCCAAGAACTGGCATGTCCCGGAAGTGCTTTTTCTGTCTATTTTGCAACCTGCAAAATCCGCATCTGAAAAACCCGTTAGAGTAAAATCTGTACCTTTTGGATACCACAATACAACATTGATTGTGCCTTTCAAATATCGTATGATCTTCTTTGTTGCGGTGAGGTGGCTTTCTTTTGGATTTGCTTGGAATCTTGCACACAGGCCCACAGCATAAGAAATGTCCGGCCTACTTGCAGTAAGATATAGAAGTGAACCAATCATTCCTCTATATTTTGTTTGATCAACATCCTTTCCATCTTCATCTTTGTCTAGCCTTATTGATGTGCTCATTGGAATTTTGATCGATGATTTTCCATCAAGACCAAACTTCTTTATCAAGTCGCGGGTGTACTTTGCTTGATTGATGAATACTCCTTCTTTCAGTTGTTTGATTTGTAAGCCCAAGAAGTAATTCAATTCACCCATCATTCTCATTTCGAATTTATTCTGCATAAGCTTCGAAAATTTCTCACACAAAGAATTGTTAGTGCTTCCAAAAATAATATCATCATATATTTGCACTAATAAAATATGATCACCATCTTGAATTCTAAATAGAGTTTTGTCAACAAGGCCTTTGGTGAATCCACAGCTTATTAAGAACATTGACAAAGTATCATACCAAGCTCTAGGTGCTTGTTTCAACCCATACAATGCCTTTTTAAGTTTGTAGACTTTATCACCTTCGCCTTTTACCTCAAAACCTAGGGGTTGTTCGACATAAACTTCTTCTTCGAGTAGACCATTCAAGAATGCGCTTTTCACGTCCATTTGATAAACAGTGAAATCTTTGTGTGCGGCGTAGGCTAGGAAAATTCTGATTGCTTCAAGTCGAGGCCACCGGTGCAAAAGTTTCATCAAAATCTATTCCTTCTTCTTGAGAGTATCCTTTTGCAACGAGCCTTGCTTTATTCCTAACAATCACGCCTTCTTCGTTTGCTTTGTTCAGGAAGACCCATTTGGTTCCTACAACATTGTGGTTCGTCGGTCTTGGAACAAGTTCCCAAACATCATTTCTTTTGAATTGATCGAGCTCTCTTGCATAGCATTTATCCAATCCGGATCATTGAGAGCTTCGTCAATTTCTTTTGGTTCAATCTGAGATAGATAACATGTGAACAATGCTTCCATGGTAGATCGATCTTGTTTTCATCGCCTTCATGGAATATTCCCAATGATTAATTCTGGAGGGTGATTTTTGAGCCATCTTAAATCTGGTTCAAATGGGTGCATGGTACTGGGTGGATCCATTTGTTGTGTACTGGGAGAGTTGGTTCGAATTTCCACATTTAATTCAATTTTGTAATTGACCACCAACTTCACCAGTAACTTGATCACTAATTGGATCACCAACTTGTACTGCATCCTCATTCTCACGTGAGGCATCACTCCCAAAATTATTATTAAAAGAATTTCCAACTTCTTCTAGATGAGGGATGGGATTTTCTAGAGAATTAATTTCCAACTCATCCATTCCCTGCAAAACATCATCTTCACACGTATCATTAGTATCACAAAAATCAATATGACACTTGTTACCATTTTGTGCAATTTCTTCGTCCAGTGCATCATTTTTGATCTGTGATTTTTCATCAAATACCACGTGTATGGATTCTTCAACCACCATTGATCTTTTATTCAAAACTCTGAATGCCTTGCTGGTAGCTGAATATCCCAGAAAAATTCCTTCATCTGCACGCTCATCAAAAGCTTTTAGATGCAATTTATCATTAATATGAATAAAACATTTGCATCCAAAAATATGAAAATAACCAATATTTGGTTTTCTCCCTTTATAAAGCTCATATGGCGTCTTCTTGTACTGCTTATGGATCATGCTTCGATTTTGCGTGTAACAAGCAGTGTTGATAGCTTCCGCCCAATATCGTTTCGGGAGACCAGGCAGCACTAATCATCACTCGTGCAGCTTCTTTGAGCGTCTGGTTTCTTCTTTCAGCAACACCGTTTTGTTGCGGTGTTCTTGCGGCAGATAATTGATGAGAAATTCCATGTGAATTGCAAAAAGCTTGTATAACTCCATTCACGAACTCGGTTCCGCGATCCGTTCGTATTTTTGATATTTGCAATTCTTTCTCATTTTGTAGTTGCTTCAACAGCTTCGGTAGAACTTGCTCAACTTCATTTTTCTTCTTGAGAAATACGGTCCAAGTGTACCTGGAGAAATCATCAACAACAACGAGAGTATATTTCTTACCACTTACACTTATTGGATCAACCGGTCCAAATAAGTCCATATGTAGTAAGCTTAGCGGTCTTGACGTTGACTCGTGTGTCTTTGATTTGAAGGATGATTTGATTTGCTTTCCGCGTTGGCATGCATCACACACTTGGTCCTTCTTGAATATGATATCTAGCAAGCCTTCTACTAGATTTTTCTTTGCAAGTTGATTGATAGTCTTGAAGTTTAAATGGTTGAGCTTTCTGTGCCATTCCCAATTAGCTTCATTTGAATTTCTGGCCATTAAGCACACTGAGTCTTTGCTTGTGCTCCAATCAACAACATACATATTCTTTCGCCGTTTTCCAGATAAAATAATCTCATTTGTGAGCTCATTTTTGATTAGGCAATTATCTTTAGAAAATTCTACAAGATAGCCTTTATCACAAAATTGACTAGTGCTCAACAAATTAAATTTCAATCCTTCAACGAAAGAAACATCTTCAATCTTCAAACCATTTTTCTTGATCGTGCCAACTCCTTTTGTGATTCCATAATTTTGATTTCCTCCGAATATAACTTTTGGTCCATCGATTTCTTTGAAATTCTCTAGATATGATTTATTTCTAGTCATGTGGCGGGAGCAACCACTATCGATGTACCAAACATCCTGCAAAAATGATTAACTAACTTTAGGTACCCATATTTGCTTGGGTCATTTACTGTTAGTGATTTTTGGTAACCAAACCCACCTTGATCTTATAGAATTAAGATGAGGCGATTTGTAACCATTAGAGACACGATAATCATAACTCACTTTAGAAAGCATTTTTGGCGCCGGGTTTTGAAAATTATTTTTATATTTTGGCACCTGGGAAGAGAATGGTTGCTTTGGTATATAAAAAACATTGCATCTATTACACAACCAATCCTTTTGAGTGGGGTGAAATTTCCCAACTTTATTTCTAGAAAAGCTTCCCTCTTTTCTATGAAATCTTTTTGCACTTGACTCTTTGGCATATCTTTGCTTGATGAATTTTTGTTGCTTTGCCGTATCATAGAATTGTTTCGGCCTTTCAACTTTCAACTTTGCATTTGTTTGATAGCCAAGTCCTTGTCTCATCGTGCTATTCTGACTTTTAACAAATTTTACCACTTGAACTTTATTATTTAAAGTAGTAGTAGAATTAGTCAGATTTTGAGGGGTTTGAGAACATGTGGAGTCATAACCAATTCCGGTTCTATCTCCTGATGGCTTTTGCATGCTCACCATTTTATCTATTATTTTAGACGAATTAGTGAACGTAGCAATAGTAGCTCTAAGATTATGTTCTCTAACCTCTCTAGCTTTACACTCTTCTTGAAGATGAATATTTTCATTCTTCAAATTTACTCACTTCAAGTAAAGCATCTTGCAATTTTTTATTCATTTCTTCTTTTTCAAGAATTAGAATATTATTGCTCTCCTTGAATTGAGGATGAGTGAGCATAATCTCTTGACATTCTCGCATTAGATTGTCAATAGATTCACGAGTAAAAGAAGAATTAACAGAATTGAAAGAATTAGATGTTACCTCTTCTTCTTCTGCGTCAAGAGGCATAAGACAATCTTCACTTGTACTCAACTCAATTGACTTGCATATTAGCGCCGTATCATCATCCGAACATGAACTTTCATCGCTTGATGATGAATCCTCCGAATCATCATTTTCGTTTGGTTCGTTGCTAACGAGAGCTTTTCTTTTGTCGCGCTTGAACCTTTTGCTTTCGAATTTGTTCGGCGTAGATTCAACATTTTTGCCTTGATACTTGCTAACGATCGGATACGGACAATTTATTTTAAAATGTCCGGGTTTGCGACAATTGTAGCATAAATCCTTGTTTTCTTCGACTTTTTCTTCTTGTGTTATGCGAGAGATGAATTTTCCACGAGCGGAATTTTTGTTGTCTCATTTTCGCAAAAACCTTCTAAACTTTTTGACAAAAAGAGCAAACTGTTCGTCAGTCATAAAATCAACATTATTTTCTACTGACCTGGAGGTTGACGGTTGTTCGGCCATTAGAGCAGCATTTCGAGCTTCATGAACATCATCATCTTTGGCCTTCATTTCGAACTCATATGCCTTTAGATCACTAAATAATTTGTCTGTAGACAACACTCTTAGATCTCGGTGATCGCGCATAGCCGTAACCTTCATATCCCATGCAGATGGTAAGCCTCGTAGGATTTTGAGATTAATTTCTTTTTGGCTAATATTTTTGCCAAGATCACTAATCTCTCCAAGAACTTTGATCATTCGAGCTTCCATGTCTGCAACACTTTCATTTGAGAGCATTTTGAAATCTTCAAACTTCTTCATGGCGATTGTGAGCTTATTGTCTTTTTCTTGTTCATCTCCTTCGCCAATCTTGATGAGAGTTTCCCATATTTCTTTGGCAGTGGCACACTTTCGGATCTTCGGAAATATTGTATCATCTACGGCTTTGAATAAAATATCCTTGGCAATATTGTCAAGATTATTCCGCGTTCTATCGTCCGATGTCCATTCCGGTTTTGACTTTTGTACGTACTGTGGAGCATCCGGGGATAGGACAAACGCCGTATTGACTTTTAATATTTCTATAGGGCCAGTGGAAATAACTTCCCACATTTCATCGTGTAAGGCCGATAAGTGTACCTGCATACGAACTTTCCAATCATCAAATTTATCAAGTGAGAATAATAGATTTTGAGCTAAATCTTTCTTCATCATCATCACGAGAGATATGAAAGATTAATCCAATTCACACACTTTGTAGAATGGATCTGTCTAGCAGTCAGAAACGGTTAACCCAGTTAGGCACGTGCTTAGATAGCAATTTGGCCTAAATAGACAGCCCGCTCTGATACCAATTGTTGGTCCCGAAAGAGGTAAGGTGAAAGTCTGGGGGGGGTGAATAGACTTTCAAACTTTTTCGCACAGCACAACAATTGCTAAGCCAGAGATAAACCAAAACTCTTAATTAACTAGATTGTTAGAGTATGGTGCACAGCGGAAATAAATAAACATAAAGTGTGTGTGAGATTGTGTGAGCAGTATATCTCGTGTAGAGCGAATATGTAAAGAGCAGTAAGTAAAGAAAGCAGTAAAGAACACAAGACAATTATAGTGGTTCGCGAGGTGGTGTAATCCTCCTACTCCACTTGCTCTTATCTCCAAGAGCAATTCACTATATCTACCACTCATTGGTTCCAAGATACAATGAATTTCCGTGATCTAGTGCTTTGATCACAAAGCCCGCACTAATCACGCCCAGTGACACCACACTGCTGCTTCGGGTTTCACGTCGCCGCGCTACTATCCCAGGATTTCACAACTCCGCGTTACTTTCCCCCTGTCTTCCACACTCCGGTAGAAACGTATCCCGTGATCTAGTGCTTTGATCACAAAGCCCGCACTAATCACGCCCAGTGCCTCCTACACTGCTGCTTCGGATCTCACAGCTCCGTGTGACAATCCAGGATTTCACAGCTCCGTGATACTTTCCTCCCTTCTCTTGTTTTGCTCCAAAACAAGTGTTGTCTTGCTTCCAACTTCTGAGACTCTGTAGATGATCTTCAATGATGCGCAGGTCTCTTTGATGAAGATAAACACTCTGGAATGATTTCTCTTGATAGCTCTGAGTGTTTTCTCTCTTTGAATATATCAAGTAAAGCACTTGATATTTTTGCTCTGCTTTGCTCTGTTTAAGAACTTTCAGAATATTTCTCTTTTGAAGCTCTCTGAGTTCTTTTTCTTTTCTCACTTCTCACTTGAAGATTTTTGGTATGCTCTGTACCAAATGAGATTTTTGCTCTATGCTCTTTCAAGCTTAATTGCTCTATTCGATCTCCTTGATGAGTTTCAAATTTTCTGCTCTCTTGTTCGTGAGTTCCCCATCTTCAAGTCTTCATATCTTGAAGACTTGAAGATTTCCTGTTTGGCTTCAAGTCTTCATATCTTCAAGTCTACATACTTACATGCACACTGTCAATAATATCTGGAATTAGCTCGTGCACACATTAACATACTTATATGCACACAGTTTGTATTTTAAGGGAGATTTGTATTTTAAGGGGGGTTTGTATTTGAAAATAATCATATATATATATATATATATATATATATATATATATATATATATATATATATATATATATATATATATAGAGAGAGAGAGAGAGAGAGAGGGTCTGGATCAGGTGAGGACCTAATCTTAGGTGAGGACGTGAGAACTAATCTAGACCATTAAATCAGAATGATGTATGACTGAGATTAAAAGGAACAAATCACACGGATTAAGGACACAAATCCCTTTAAAATATTAAAATATATAAATTTAGGGTAAAGCAGTCTTATTAAAAGATGTGCATTCCTATACAAAATATTCGTGCATTCCTATACTGAGTGTTGTGCATCGATAACTTTATTGTTGTGCATTCAAACCCCGCCAAAAAATCCTACAGTGGACATCCCAATGTCCTACGATGCACAGAACTATATGCTATAATGCACAACTCTCTAGCCTTTGGTGCACAACTTACAACACTAGGTTGCACAATTAGTACACACGAATGCACAATTGTACTATCCAGGCATTTGTATATATACACGACCATCCAAATATAGACAATATTATACTCAAAAGAACGAGCAAAAAAAAATACTGATTAGTTTGCATGGGCGAACACTCAATCAAAGACACTACTACCCACTTTAACAAAAAAAATCAATCCATGTCATCTTAGGAACTCAAATTTGGGTCATCCAAATAAAAAAAAAAAAAAAAAAAAAAAAAACACACAAGATTAGTCCTCTCGTCCTCACCTTATCCGGACCCTATGTGTGTGTGTGTTTTCAACACAAGTAAGTGTATGAATAATGAAGAACAAATTAAAAGACAAACACTGATAGTTTCAATTCAAACAATGCGTTCATACACTAAAGCCTATTTTTTTGTTCAATTTCTCTTATATCCATAAGATGTGCATAGGGACTAATTATGCATTTCAGTCTAAAATGTGTATATGATTTGCATACACATGCATAAATCTACATATCTAATTAAAAACATAATATGTGTCAATACAAGTTATATCCTTGATTTTTGTCCCTTTTTTATATGCTAATAAATATATACATTTTGCTTTAATTATTGTACATTTCATTTTTATTGGACAAAATCACCCTTACACCGTTATAACACCGTTAGTATT